GTGATGGTAAGGGCAAAATATTTGGTTATACATTTTGAAAATATTGTACGGTTAGAAAGATGAATTTCTTCAAAGATATAGTTCTCAAGATTTACTCAAAATTGCTAACATTGGTAAGTCAATGTTCGTAAGACCATCAGTGAATCATTTCCGTTATAAAAAAAATGGACGTAAAGACATGTACATTGTGTAGGCTAGGTGTGTCCTGTTTTTGTTGAATTCATGTCGAGTGTGATGTAACAAAACGCAACATTTGCCCAGTATTGACCGGTGCTTCAGATATAAATACACCGCATGTGTCCACATGACTTGAATCAGGGTTACAAATATAGAGTAAGATTTAAAAGAAGATTCCTAATATGTAATCATTGCCGTTTGTCTCTACAGATATTGACGAATGTAACCTTGGCACGGACAACTGCCACACTCACGCAACCTGTACTAACACAGACGGCAGTTTCACCTGTACCTGTAACACCGGTTACACCGGGGACGGGGTCATCTGTACCGGTAAACAATTTGGTTGCTCATTCCTCAAACACTGCTAAAAGCGTGCATATGTTGATATAGTGCGTGCATTGCTTCCATAGAATTTGATTTCACAAAAGATATAGAGACGCAAAATGTGTGCCTCGTTTCCTATATTATGCTTGATATGAAAAAAATGGCGTTGTACCTGTGCTTCACTTTTTAGACCACAAGAATTCACTTCTAACTGTGTGTACGTTTCTCGTATCATAAATTACCAATTTAAACATTTCCATTAGCTAAAAAGATATCATAATGATTATGCTTTAAAGAAAATCATTGGATTATGGAAATGAATAAGACGCAGACTTCTGTGTATGTAATGAAGATTTATCGCAACAGATATCGACGAATGTGCAATTGGTACGGACAACTGCGATTATGATGCAACCTGTACTGACACAGACGGCAGTTTTACCTGTACCTGTGACGTCGGTTACACCGGGGACGGAGTCACCTGTACCGGTAAGATCTAGAGCAAAAAGATCTAGATGCACACTACTAACACATGGTATATGGTCTAAATTGTTTATTGAATTCAATTTTACAAGCGTAGGTTTATTGAATATTGCTGTATACAGTAATGATTCCGTGTCAAAAACCGTATTACAAGTGTACCTTAAAGAACCAAAATGTGTATATGATGCAGTGATGTCCTACAAATATATGTAAATGCAACAGGGTAGTGGGCTGTAAGCTTTGTGTCAAAGAGTAAGATATTTGGACGAAGACTACTTGTAGTTAATTGCGGTTTGTCTCTAAAGATATCGACGAATGTGACCTTGGTACGGACAACTGCCACACTAACGCAGGCTGTGCTAACACAGACGGTAGTTTCACCTGTAGTTGTAACAACGGTTATACTGGAGACGGAGTCAACTGTGATGGTAAGAACAAAAGAATTTGTTGCACATCCGTAAACTATCACACTGTACTCAACTAGTACATCTATTCTTCCATAGAATTCAGAGATGTTTTTAAAAATTATAGCTTTGTACACTGAAAATTCTGTCTTAAAATATCTTATCAAACTGTATCTTGTACGGTGAAGTGACACATGATTGTTTGAAATCTATGTGTGGCGTAAAATGTGTGCCTCTTTTCTTAATTTATGTTAGTGTCATATAAAAAAGTGTCACTTTATCATGGAATAGTGCTGGCGCTTCACATGTGACTTATATGTGTCCTTTTTTTATACAACAAGGATAAAATTCTCCTTTCTTCATGTGATTACATATAGCGTGTGATTAGCCCACTTGATTGTAACACTTTATCAACGACTTGTGATATCCCTTATTATTTGAATGATTATGATATAGATATGTTAGGTTTTATTCGACATTAGGTCTTATTCAACACACTTATTTTATTGTTTTTACTCTCTTTATGTAGTTTGCCATACAATGATGCCACAGTCATGCAACCTGTACTAACACAGACGGCAGCTTCACCTGGCTGTAAGTTGTACAAAAGAGTAAGACCTCTACTACATGTGTAATTGCGTTCTTTCCTCAACAGATATAGATGAATGTGCTACTGGCACGGACAACTGCGATGATGATGCAACCTGTACTAACACAGACGGCGGTTTCACCTGTACCTGTAACGAGGGTTACACCGGGGACGGAGAAAACTGTGATGGTGAGAGCAAAAATATTTGGTTGCACAATTTTGTAAAACATTGTACGGTTAAGGAAAATAAATTGCTAATAGAAATCTAAATTAGTATCAGAAAGCTTGTTAACTCGTATAACTTTGTTATGCCACGATACCCTTCCAGTTCGTATCGGTAAACGATGTGATACAACGTAACGGTTATACAACAGGCAGTAGACGGTTGTTGCCTTATTTCCGTGTCAAAATAAACTACGGATGCAAATTCAGTTGCCATTTCGTTGAATTCATACCAAGTATGATAGAAACAAGGGACCTTTGACTTTGTACCCGTCTACAGATATTGACGAATGTACAGATGGCACGGACAACTGCCACGCTCATGCAACCTGTACTAACACAGACGGTAGTTTCACATGTGGCTGTGACACCGGTTACTCCGGGGACGGAGTCACCTGTACTGGTAAGAACAAAAGATTGTTTGTCTCTAAAGCATCACATCGCCAATACATGCGTTGCTTACATAGAATCAAATTTTACAAGTGTCTTGAAGGTATTTATCATTATACATGTATTTCAAAACATCGTGCCAAAAGTTCAAGTATGTGTAGTACTACAAATACGATACAGTGATACCCAATATATTGGTCTGATATATATACGTTCGCGAATGTCTGCCCCGTTTTCTTAATTTATGTTTCGATTCTTGACGTAGTACCAGTGCTTTACATTTCAGGGCATCATGTGGGACAATTATCTGTGTACCTTTCTTGTACCGATAACGTCGATTATTAAACAAGAAAGTTATTTCCCCTTCCCCTTGATGAGTTTTGTGGCACTGTGAGGTATACCTATCTCATTACATCATGGGCTGTAACTGGGAAAACAGTTACACGCAGATAATGCAATTGCGGTTTGTCTCAACAGATATCGACGAATGCACAAAGGGTACGGACAAATATTGATAGCGTAAAATTACGTTTTGCTTTGTAGATATCGACGAATGTGACATGTACATTGCCACACAACAAGAATATTTCCTCTTGTCTAGATTCAACAGGCTTTTACCATTGTGAGCTAGAACTGTTACTTTCCAGTAATGACCAACTTGGACTATGAATGTAAGACAAATATTACTATATATACTAGTATATTATACGTAATTTGTCACTACAGATATCGACGAATGTACAACTGACACGGACAACTGCCACAATGATGCAACCTGTACTAACACAATCGTTTTCCTTCGTAGATATCGACGAATGTGACATGTACATGGGCACGAACAACTGCGATGATGATGCAACCTGTAGTAACACAGACGGCAGTTTTACCTGTACCTGTAACAACGGTTACACCGGAGATGGAGTCAACTGTAATGGTAAGAACAAAAACAATTCAGGTGTATATTTCTGGAACATTTTAGTATATTACTGGGGAACATGAATTCAAGCGTTGAAGTCTTAGTCAACATTGCTTAATAGATTCATGATTCTGTGTCAAAATATTCTAAAATATTAACTCAGTTCAATGTCCTTACCACAATAAATAGGTATTATCGGTCAGAAGAGGTTCATTCCTTAGAGACATACCGCCCCTTCTCTAGTGATGACCAATGTGGGCTGTAAACAACAAGACAAAGATTATCTTCCGTGTTGGTAGTCATTATGCAGCAAGTTTGAACTACAATTTTCAACACAAGAAATTGAACCTACCTATGGCATATATTTTAGTATTTGTCAAGGAATGAGCAATCCACCGCTTCACGCAGATAACACACGTGACACTACTAGCAGTTGTGTTGGAAATTGCAGTTCCACCTTGCTTCATAAAGACAAATATTACTAGCTATAGTATGTCGTTGCGGTTTGTTTTTACAGATATCGACGAATGTACAGTTGGCACCCACAACTGCGACAATGATGCAACCTGTGCTAACACAATCGGCAGTTTTACCTGTTCCTGTGACGTTGGTTACACCGGGGACGGGGTCAACTGTGACGGTGAGAACAGCAAGAAAAATAACCTTTAGTACATCCGTAAAACACTATATTGTTGGAGTAGATGCATTGCATACGTGGAATTCAATTTCACAAGAATAAGTTGATATTATGGCATTTACAATTTACGTGTGAAGTCAAGTGCGATATAGAAAACGTTGCGTTTGACGTGCCGTTGCTTCAAATTTCGTTGGACCACATGTAACTATTCACTGATTACCTTTCTTGTATTGACAACGGAGGTTGAATTGACATTGAATGATGATATTTTCCTGTACACAATAAGGTTACCGTAGAGGATCATTCCTGTGAGCCATAGATCCCTCACTTCATTATATGTTTTGAGCGAAGAGAATGACGTATGTTTTTGCGGTTTTTCTTTACAGATATCGACGAATGTGACATGTACACGCCGGGCACGAACAACTGCCACGGTCAGGCAACCTGTACTAACACAGACGGCAGTTTCACCTGTTCTTGTAACACCGGTTTCAGCGGGGACGGAGTCAATTGTGATGGTAAGAACAAGCTACTTAGCATTTTTCTGTCAGAATACATGCATTACTTGTATTAACTTAAAGTTTCATTTTAAAAATATCTCATGACCACAAGTTAATAAGCGATTGTTTATTTATTACAATTTTCGTTGAAAAAATGCAGACTGTAGGTATAACGAAGGTTCCTGCCACACACAGTCGAATATGGTCTCCTAACCATGGCTAGGAGTAGGTCAGAGCTGTGGTTGACTCGTGTTCCGCAAGGTCGGCTACTGTTCGAATGCACCAGTGGAATGTGCACTGAACATTCGATCATGGTTGGCTGGTGTTCGGCGATAGGTCAGCAGTGTTTGGAACGTGTTTGTCTTCATTTGACTCAAATTAAAGTTTTCTATTCATGTAGGAAGATAGGCGAGGTCAACATCTCATGACCGCTGTAAAACGTTTGCCACGTTTGTTGGTTGGTGGTTGAGGGAAAGTTCCGAATGTTTGTCAGGGGATTTAAAAAACCGTAATCATAATTATATGTTTAATATTGTCGTATACGGGGATAGCGCGATACGATCGGCATCACATCGGTATTAAAATAAAAAATCATGCATATTTTCAGAGACGTTACCATTTTATTCTTAGTAGCAAGAAACGATTTAACATAACTTAATGTTAATCTACCAGCCGGTAGGAGGTAAAACCATCATGGCATTTTTTTCGTGCCAAACATGCGGACGCCTTTTGTTCTTAATTCATGTCTCCAGAAAGATCAAATCTTCTATTCAAAATCAACATTTCATACGTGCCGAATTACTTCAAACGCCTCTGAATCGCGTTGACATTTTACAGATACGTAGATTGTGTTAAGTGTGATACAGAATGTGTTTGACGTTACACCAACGCTTTACAGTTCATTCATTGCATTATATGTGACTATTTTATTTGTACCCTTTTTATTCAATAATGTAGGTAAAAAAAACTGGAATTATATGAGATTCTTTTAATTTGAGCTTCGTATCTGCGAACCAGGGATTACCTACATGGGTTGTAAGGTTCATAGAAAAGTGTAAGGAGACCATTACTAATGTCTTATTGCGGCTTGGCTCAACAGATATCAACGAATGTACAGATAACACGGACAACTGTGATGAAGATGCAACCTGCGGTAACACAATCGGCAGTTTCACCTGTGAATGTAACCCAGGTTACAGCGGAGACGGAGTCAACTGTGATGGTAGAATTTTTTTAATGTTGTATATCTCTAAAAATCATATTGTTTAGAGTGCAAGCATTGCATCCATTTAGTTCCATTTAAGAATATGAATCAATTTATGCATTACAATTTTATTGTGAAAGTATTCTATTAAAGGTGTATGTTAAAGAATCGGAAATTTGCATCAAAATATGTGTAACATAGTCGTTTGCTAATATTACATCGATGGTATGATACAGTTTCCTCCAATACTTTGTATCACAGGGACACTGAACTAAAGAAAAAATAAATGTATCTTGAAAAGACATTATCTTTTTCAACATGTTACGATAAACCTTTGATACAACATAATGTTTATTCAGTGTACCATGGCATGAAACATAATTATTGTATCACATGTCTGTACCAAGCTTTTGTGTGCTCAGTTTACTTAAATAACTTCATGGCGTCAAGTAATGATATTTCCCCTAGCAGAATGAGATTCCATATAAGTGCAGTTCTGTGAGATATAGCACTCTGCCTCAAGTGATGGTCAGCATGGGCTATGAAGTTAAAACCAAAATTAAGACGAAGACTACAAGTATTTTGACACATTCTTAGAAATATCGACGAATGTGCAGCTGACACGGACAGCTGTCACAACGATGCAGCCTGTGCTAACACAATCGTTTTGCTTCGTAGATATCGACGAATGTGACATTGGCACGGACAACTGCCACGATGATGCAACCTGTACTAACACAGTTGGCAGTTTCACCTGTAGCTGTGACGAAGGTTACACTGGAAATGGAGTCTCCTGTACTGGTAAGAAGAACCAATTCGACGACACATCTGTAAATTTTACTCAGTTAAAGTGCATGCATTACTTTTATCGAGTTCCATTACCATAAGGCTAATAGATTTATTGAGTAATGGTTTGTACCAATAATAACATCATGTTCTTTGGCGATGTTACTATTATGTAAAACAATGTACCTTTCCCGTATCAATAAGGTATAATTTTGAACGTTACCTATTCATTCTGTATAGATTCAGCTATGTGAGATATAGCTCTCTGCTTCCAGAGATTGTAAAGTTGATAGCAAAGTTGATTGCTTTTTGACTTTACAGATATCAACGAATGTGCAACTGCCACGATGTAACTCCCGAAAGTGATAACCAGCGTGATATGTAAGGATGATAGCAAAGATTGCGATTGATTGACGATGATGCGGTTTGTCTCTACAGATATCAACGAATGTACAGATGGCACACACAACTGCCACGAGGATGGAACCTGTGCTAACACAGTCGGCAGTTTTACATGTTCCTGTAATAACGGTTACGCCGGGGACGGAGTCGACTGTGATGGTAAGAGTAAAATATTTGGTCGTACATCCCTGCAATACCATTCCATCCATTGTGCATGCACTACAATCCATGAAGATCGCAATATTTTATGCATTACAATTTTCTTGGGAAAGTATTGTATTAATTATTGTATCATTTTCTAGTCAAAACCACAAACGCAAAAGCAGTGCCGTTTTTTTTACCTCACATCAATTCTAATATAGAAAACCTGCATGAATGTAGTACAAGCACTGTACATTCCATGTCATTACATGTAACTGTGTACCTTCCTTGTATCAATAACATAGGTCACAAATCACCCATCGATAACCATGCAGCACGGACTGTAAGCAAAGAGAAGGATGAAGACGACTGATACGTTGCTGTGGTTTGATTTCACAGATGTCGACGAATGTACAGCTAGCACGGACAACTGCCACGATGACGCAACCTGTACTAACACAATCGTTTTCCTTCGTAGATATCGACGAATGTGACATGTACATGGGCACGAACAACTGCGATGACGATGCAACCTGTACTAACACAGACGGCAGTTTTACCTGTAGCTGTAACAACGGTTACACTGGAAATGGAGTCTCCTGTACTGGTAAGAACCAGCAATTAATTGTATACTTTTATTTAATTGTAGAGTTTTATTTCCCAAAACGTGCCATTCATTTAGGTTTATCAAGTACTGATTTAAGCAGTACATGTATACAAAATACCATGTTTACTGCATAGCCAATGATAGAGCAGTAAACATTTACGTTTAAGAATCGATGTTTGGGTACGAAGCAGTTATGCCGCATACATGTGTGTGATAGTGTCGTATACGATATCACATCGCTAGCGCAATAGGACGTTCAGCAACATTGTTTTTCACAGCAACATTGACCTAAAGAGAAAGGACGTTACCTGTGCAAAATGTATCCTCAAATGTGATATAGAAAACATAAGGTGTGAGCTTTGAATTTCAATTCTTCTTGTGTGACTTTTTATCATGTACAGCTGTACCTTCTTGGTATCGATACTACAGGTCAGAAAACAGAAATTACATTTTTTTGTTACCTATTGAGGTTCCGTTCTGTGAGACATAACTCCCTAAAGTGATAAACAACGTGATATGTAAGGTTGATAGCAAAGCTAGAGTACGATTACTTGAAGATATTGCGGTTTGTCTCTACAGATATCAACGAATGCACAGATGGCACACACAACTGCCACGAGGATGGAACCTGTGCTAACACAGTCGGCAGTTTTACCTGTTCCTGTGACACCGGTTACGCCGGGGACGGAGTCAACTGCGATGGTAAGAAAATGATAGTGAGCTACAATACACAATGCTGTAAGATTGTATTCATTACTATTTTACAACAAATCTCATAGGTTTATTATTCAATTGTTTATGCAATGAATTTAGAAATTATGTATATTGCAGAGACGTCAACAATTTTCAACTTGTTACGGTAACCGATGCGATATAGCGCAACGTTTGTCCAATATACAAAAGCGTGTAAAACAATTATCCTATCATTTTCGAGTCAAACCTATGGACGCAAAGTGTGTGTGCTGTCCTTCACGCCAAGTGTGATTTAACAAAACGTAACGTTTGTCGTAGTATAATGCAGCGGTTCACATTCCACTTCACCTTGTATCATTACACTGTACACAAGTTATTTCGATAAGGACTCTGCGAGATATAGCCCCCTTCTTCCAGTGATAACTAACCAATGTGCTCTTAGATTTTGAGGGACGAGTAAGAAGTCGACTAATAGTAGGTCATTGTGGTTTGTCTCTACAGATATCGACGAATGTGACACTGACACGGACAACTGCCACACTCACGCAACTTGTACTAACACAGACGGCAGTTTCACCTGTTCTTGTAACGACGGTTACTCCGGGAATGGCGTCACCTGTACTGGTAAGAACGAGCAAATCGGTTACGGTTTCCTATGGAATTATGTGTTTACTATGTTGAAGCGAAAATACGTGTACAGTGCAGTTATACGTCACAAATACATTTGTAATAGGCCTGTTTCCATTAGGTTACAATAGACTATGTAATACAATGTAACGTTTGTCTACCTACAACAGCGAGTGAGACCATTAATTATAACATCCTTTCCATGTCACAATGTGTGCCAATATTTGAGCTTAATATCGACCTTTACATTTCTGTGTACCATATTTGTTATCTATTATGTACCTGCGTAGATCACAAAGCAAGTATGGTGTTTTTCTTTTCCGTAGATGTTTAGTTCTCTGAGATCTAGCTCCCTCCCTCCCTCCAGAGATAACCAGCATGGGCTGTAAGGTTGGTAATGAAGAATAATAAAAAGACTACTAATATGTCATTGCTGTTTGCCTCCACAGATATCGACGAATGTGACATTGGCAGGGACATCTGCGATGTCGTGTATATTATATTGATAGCGTTTGATTACGTTTTGCTTCGTAGATATCGACGAATGTGACATGTTGACATGTGAATGTGACGAATGGGCACGAACAACTGCCACGATGATGCAACCTGTGCTAACACAGACGCAAGAGACATTATAATAGGCAATTGCGGTTTGTCTTCACAGATATCGACGAATGTGCAACTGGCACGGACAACTGCCATGATGATGCAACCTGTTCAGATACAGACGGCAGTTTCACCTGTACCTGTAACACCGGTTACACCGGGGACGGAGTCATCTGTACTGGTAAGAATTTTGATGCCTGATGTATTATCGTTGAGTAGCGACATAATAATGATGATGATGAAGACCTTTATTCTACAAAAATACCCACTGCGTTAAGTACAAACGAATCGCTTGTATATACAAACAAGTATACACGATTAAGCTAGCATATTAGCACTATAGTCTACGTAAATTCGAATTCTCCTCGTTTCTTCATGACAGTGCAAAGAAAAGAGCATACATGTTTAAGGATAAGAGGTTTGTCTATACATAAGCTCATTAGAAAAGTGAGCTTGTCTGTATTACTTAAGTGTATAAAATGCGGAAACATCGATGTTATCAATCTATAAAGTTCGATTCTCTCACAATTTTGCAGACTACATTCTACTAGAAAAGGGTGTTCATCTTCTATCTTAACTAAATTACACGTATCGACAAGTTCGTTGTTCCAGGGGAGTGCGGTTACGTCTTCCGGTTTCAATGTGTAGTTTATGGCAGCTGATCCGAAGTTTTGTGACATAGGTCCTGTTCCGTTTGTTGTCAATGTTTAGGTATTGTTCTTCGTTGTAGGCAAAATAAAAGGCCAGGTGGAGAGTAAGATGACCTTCGCTGTCAGACTTGAACAGATGTCCAGGAATTGTTTATGATAAAACTAATTTTGCTAACCAATGACTCATTAGGTAACATTGGGATGTGCCATAATAAAAAAAAAACAAAGCTTTGATGCTCCACACAAGGAGGTTTGAAATCAAACCATAGCAATTTACGGGCGTTCCGGTGGGCATGCAAATAAGGATTTAATTTGCATACGTTATGAAGAAATGCAGTTTATCAACATCGCAATTCCTACTTGTAATTCTACAGATACCGATGGGTGCGATCCGGATCCGTGTGTTGAAATAGCTACCTGTACCGACATTCCGGCTCCTGGGACGGGTGCAACTTGTACCTGTCCCTCGGCAGGGTATTACGGTGATGGAAAAGTTCATGGCAGTGGTTGTAACGGTAATTTTCTTTTGATTATTTGAATCTTTTAATCTTTAAGAGATGCCAATTTGTTTTATATAGAAATTAAGAATTTACTTTTAAAACTGTAAATACCCACAGCGTGTGTATTATAATATAAAACGAGCTCAATGGTGTGTAAATACCAACGCAATTCAGACTTTTGTCTGCCATGTTTGTATTGAAAATAAAAGTTTCAAAAGTTTCAAAGTTTCAAATTAATTATATGACGCTATCACTGTACATTTCATTTCATTTCATTTATTTATCCAGGTAATACATATCGCCTTGTCGGCGTTTTTCAATGATACCTGGGGGGTAAACCCCAACATAGTAAAATACAAACAAAGTAACTGAGGATAAAATACAATAATAAATAAGAAGAAAATAATATACAAGTGTGCAATTAATCATAAGGTAACATAAAGAATCCAACCAAACATGAATAAGTTAAAGCGAAAGGAATTTGCATATCAATGGAACTTATCTCACAAGCATAAAACAAACAAAATCATATTAACTGGTAAGGAAAATCATAATGTTTGTAAATCACTCAACCAAAATCAAATTAACTGGTGAGGGAAGAAAGTCTGGTCTTAAATGTACTGACAGATTTTGAGTTTCTTACATGTGGCGGAAGGGAGTTCCAGAGAACTGTGCCGGAGAATGAAAATGATCTCTTTTTGTACTGTAGACGTGCTTTAGGTAGTTGGAGCCCCCCCCCCCTGTGTACTGTGTCGGGTGTTGTGTGAGTGGGTAGAAGCAGATGTTGTGAAGTATTGTGAGATGTGCGCAGGTGTCATACCATTCAGTGCCTTGAACGTGAGGACAGCCTTGGCCCGTGTGTGGTGTTGTGATACGGTGGTCCAGCCTAGCAGGTTCAAGACGGTACCAGATAGAAGCACACATGGTTTGGTGTAAATCTTTGCTAAATCTGGGTCAATTATGATAAAAATATCCGCCGTCCGTCTATCTTCACAGACGTCCCCGGTTGCGACATGTACAACAATCCGTGTCATAGCCTGGCTACCTGTACCGACGTTCCGGCTCCAGGGACCGGTGCGGTATGTATGTGCCCGGATGGATATGAGGGCGATGGAATTATGACTGGAACCGGATGCACAGGTAATCCGTTACCTTCGGCAGGTCTGCTATGGTTTTTATGTACCTTTGCTACTTTATGGCATGTTGTCTACATCGTATCTACTTATTTGTTTTTCTGCAGAAATCGATGGATGCGACCCCGACCCGTGCGATCCTAATGCTGAATGTACAGACAATCCACCTCCTGCCGACGATGCGACTTGTGAGTGTAACGATGGATATGAGGGAAATGGATTCACATGCACAGGTACATCACTACAGATAACATTTCAGTGTCTCAGATGCCGCTATTTCCTTTTATCAATAATGTCGTGCTGCAGGTTCAGATTCAATTCTATTCTGCAAGATAAAGCTCCCTCTCTCCAGCGAGAACCAGCTGTCCAGCGAAGAAAGAAGATTACTGGTACGTAATTGTGGTTTCTCTCTACAGATATCAACGAATGTACAACTGACACGGACAACTGCCACGAGGATGCAACCTGCGCGAACACAATCGGCAGTTTTACCTGTGACTGTAACGACGGGTACGCCGGGGACGGAGTCGACTGTGATGGTAAGAGCAACAAAAAATGGTTATACATCCTTACAATGTAAGAGTGCAGATGTATTGCTTCCTTTCTTTTCATTTTGCTAGGATACTTATTGATTTATATAGCTTAGCTCTGCTTGATGCTAATACCGCGTCAAAATCGGGCATTTAACGTGTATCTCAAAGAAGCGAAAATACATGTACGATAAAGTGATACAAATATAATATTTGACGGGGAGGATTTCAGAACAATAACGTTATATTCTTTTAGATAATGTCGCATATTATGACAATGTTGAACAAAATACATTGCATATACCGTTTTCGATGATGTGTGTACCTTTTTTGCTTCAAGTGTGGTAAAAAACAAAAACCGCTGCACCTAGTACGGACGTCGCTTTACATTTCAATGCAAATTGCTTGTATCGGTCAATTGGGTTAGAGAATCAAATAGGGGTTTGTTTCTGTAGGATATAATGATGGCCAGCACGTACTTGAAGGATTGTTGCAAAAAAGTAAGATAAATATTGATAGCGTGTAATTATGTTTTGCTTTGTAGATATCGACGAATGTGACATGTACATTGGCACGAACAACTGCCACGCTCAGGCAACATGTGATAACACAGACGGTAGTTTCACCTGTACCTGTAACACCGGTTACACCGGGAACGGAGTCACCTGTACTGGTAAGACCAAACATTTAGTTGTACATCTGTAAAATATACCATTATTCAAGTATTGCTTCCATTAAAATCAAAATATGTCTTAGGTTATATTAACACATTTATATTACGCTTTATATACATATATTTGTGTACCAAATGAGGCATGAAAGGTGTATATTAAAGATCTCTATGATAATTGTCCGACGTATCGGTAATCCGACCCACGCTGACCGTTGTAAAGTACCTGTACCTATTAAGAGTATACCTTTTTTGTATTGATAACGTATGTAACAACATGAAAACATATTTTCCCAACCAGATAAGATACTATATAGAGGTTTAGAATGGGCTCGAAGTTAGGGACAAGAGTGGACAAAGTTTACTAGTATGTTTTGACAATTTCTCTTTACAGATATCGACGAGTGTGCAACTGGCACAGACAACTGCCACGATGATGCAACCTGTTCTGACACAGATGGCAGTTTTATCTGTACCTGCAACGAGGGTTACACCGGGGACGGAGTCGACTGTGATGGTAAGGATCTACAAATGTGAAACATGACCTGGTTAGAGTGCATACATTTTTACATCACCCCTTGTATAAAAATCCCGTATAAAATACATGTGCACGGTGTATATGTTAGTGTCGTACAGGTTATAACAACTTGCTACGATTTCACCCAATGTCATTGAACTAAATATGTACATTTGCAGAAACGTTACGTTTCTATTTCATTCCGATAACGATGTAATACAACGTAACGTATATCCACCATAACGCGTGAGCCCAATATTAAATCATTTTCATGTTGATATAAAACTTGACCGACTAGTGCTGCTCGTTGCTTCACCTTTCAGTGCACCACATGTGAGTGACTATCAAGTATTACCTGTATTGTAGAGATAAAGTAGGTTGCATAAAAGATTTGCTAAGCAAATATTAAGAAAAAGCATTAGTATGTTACATTGAACTTTGTCTCGACAGATATCGACGAATGTGCATCTGGTACGGACAACTGCCACACTCACGCAACCTGTACTAACACAGACGGCAGTTTCACCTGTACCTGTGACGACGGTTACACCGGGGACGGAGTCAACTGTGATGGTATGAGCAAACGATTTAGTTGTACATCTATAAACATTACACTGTTGAAGTGCAATACCATATAGATAGATGGATAGATATATAGATAGGTAGATACATGGATACATAGATATAGACGTATAGATATATACATAGATATAGATACATGTATTTCTATTTCATTTAAAAACGTGGCGTTGAATCTAGTACCGGTGTTTACAAAGTTGTAGTGCTATGCTGTCCCTCTCAAGAAATGTCCACCATAATCTGCAAGTTGTGAAAATTAGCAAGAGACATTATAATAGGTAATTGCGGTTTGTCTCCACAGATATCGACGAATGTGCAACTGGCACGGACAACTGCCACGATGATGCAACCTGTTCAGACACAGACGGCAGTTTCACCTGTACCTGTAACGAGGGTTACACCGGGGACGGAGTAAACTGTGATGGTGAGACCACAAGTTTTGTTTGTACATCAAAAGAAATTATACTTTGATTTGATTACGGAGGCAAAATGTATGTCATTTTTGTTGAATTCATGTCAAATGCAATATCATAGTAAAAACGCGACCATTGACTTACATTTAGCGCATCACATGTTACGTTAAACTTTGTACCTTCCTAGTATCGATAAAGTAGGTTACAGTATGAAAATTATATTTTCCCATACTTGCATGATAGGATTCCGTACGTAAAGGCTCGGTTCTGAGAGGTATTGTAATGGCCATCATGGGCTATACGTTACATTACTGACATTTAATTGCGGGTTGTGTAAACAGATATCGACGAGTGTGCAGCTGGCACGGACAACTGTCACACTCACGCAAGCTGTAGTAACACAGACGGCGGTTTCACCTGTACCTGTGACGACGGTTACACCGGGGACGGAGTCACCTGTACTGGTAAGAACAAAAGGCTTAGTTTTGCATCCGTAAAACATTATGCATGCTGTAAGAGTACATGCATTGCCTCCATAGGATGCAAATTTACAAGTGTCCTTATATTTTTGTTTACACTGATTTATAAATTGATAATTCTATGTTGTTGAATATTGTATCAAACGTGTAATTTAAAGAAGATGTAAAATAGACCAACAACATGAAATAAAAAAATATGTACACCAAGTAGTGATACCCCACAAATATATGTTCGAATGAGCTATTGCCCTATTTTCTTGCTTTGCGGTTTAGTGTACCATGTGGCTATGCACCAGTACCTCTCTTGTATTCATAACGTAGGTTACAAAACAAGAATGATAATTTCCCTACCTGATAGAGCTGTGAGCCATAGCTGTCTCCTCTGTCCGATAATACTTATCATGGGCTGTGATTTGTGGAAAAGATGCTGTATATGAAATTGCGGCTTGTCTTTACAGATATCGACGAATGTGCAACTGGAACGGACAACTGTGATGATGATGCAACCTGTACTAACACAGACGGCGGTTTCACCTGTACCTGTAACGTCGGTTACACCGGGGACGGAGTCGACTGTGATGGTGAGAGCACAGGATTCGATTTCAATTGAATTTTAAAAGCGTTCTTGACCCTATTCAGGCGGGGCGGAGGGTTCTTTTGAGGACCGCGCCAAATTTTGATCTCGGATAGCACCTGAATGGCTTGGGCTGGAACCGTCAAATTCGGTAACTTTTCCTAAAATATATCTGGCAACAATTTCATGTTAATTAGATAAGTTAATGAATTTTCGTGTTGCCATGGCAACGGGTTCTGACAGGTAGTTTTTTCATTAATTTTGGTTTTCAGATTAAAATTTTCTAGGTTTTATGTTTAATTACACTTCCTTTCTAACATTAACACTAGTAGCATCTTATATAACCATATATAATTTCTTTCATTTATCATTTCCTAATTTATGCTAATTTGATGGCGTCATTGGTCAAAATCCAAGTTGGTGGACCATATCATTAGCTCTGATGCAACAACGTTCTTCACTTATTTTTCATGACTCATTATTTATTACATAAAACGTTCATATGAACATAATTATTATGAACATATGAACATCTTTAGTCCGCTTGCATTGCGTTTTGAGGCTTGAAAAAATCTTGAAAAATGAAATTCAAAAAAATCCAAAATTGACGATCCAAGATGGCCCACAGCTTAAGTATTCATGTCATGACGTCATATGGACGTCAGTGTTGTTGCCAGGCCCAACATAAGTGTTAATAGACCTTATTATTCTATCATAGACACTTTTTGTTGAAGTTGGTTTGTATTCCTCTGAGTTTAAGGGAAAGCAATTTTCACGGTTTTAGCCCCAATATGACGTCAAATGTCGCCAAAATTACAGCAAAGTTGTCGGTATGATTTAATTATACTACTACACCATTCTCTGAAAATTTGGTGGTTTTTGAGTTACAGGGGCCGGTATGTAATCGCAGTTTTCCTCTACAGATATCGACGAATGTGACCTTGACACGGACAACTGCCACGAACACGCAACCTGTACTAACACAGACGGCAGTTTCATCTGTACATGTAACGAAGGTTACACCGGGGATGGAGTCAGCTGTACTGGTAAGAGCAAACATTTGGTTGTACATATGTAAAACATTATACTGTCAGGATACATGCAATGCTTTCCATAGAATCTAATTTACCTTTCACTCGTGGGTTTATCTAACACTGATTTATAAATTGATAATTCTGTGTTAAAATAGTATCAAAAGTGCATTATTAACAAAAAAAAAACAATATGTGTACGATGCAGTAATCGCCCATACATGTGTGATACGGTCAGTTATAGTTGTAATTCAAGAATAAACACCTAATTTGGATCGTTAGTTTAGTATATACTATGCTCGGGCTAATATTATGCCAGTCAGTAAATGAGTCATGACAGTACAACGGACAGCCATCCGCGGCCTTCCTTGTGTCCAGTGAAGTAAAAACGAGGTTCTGTCCTTTCGCAAAAAAACACTCTTCAATATCATTCATGCTCACTGACGGGTTCCAAGACAGTGGGGGAAGGAAAAGGCATCAAATACAAAACAGAAGGGAATAAAGAAAGCAAAAGAGTTACAAGAAAACCTGCATCATAAACTTGATGAGTTGTGACGATATGCAAACATAGATAAGAAAGTGAACTGCAGGCCAGTAGTGCCTTACGGAGACTTCGATGCAATGCCTGACATCCAAGTGGCATCAAACTTAGAGGGAAGCTTAACGTGTATCAGACAGTAGTTATTGCCTTGGATGGTATACAGCAGACACACCAAACATTTGAACCGTTTCCACACAATTTGTCTTCGAAGGTTGTTGAAAATGTACTAGAAATATCACGTTACGAACACACATGTCCTTTCTCGTGCGAATATATCTAGCATACATATCCTACTAGAAAAGGCCCAGGCTAGATGGCATGACAAACGCATTCGCAAAATTATAATGCCCAGTGCCAGTGCTACACGTATAGTGCATCACAATAGGTTGCAAAAAAAATAATATTTTACCTGATGAGATCCACGCACAGTCTTAGTTTTGTACGTTATAGCTGTCTGTCTCCTGTAATAACCATCATTGGCTGTAAGTTCTGAGAAAGAGTAAGACGAAGATTTTACCTCTTCAGATATCGACGAATGTGCAACTGGTACGGACAACTGCCATGACGATGCAACCTGTTATAACACAGACGGCAGTTTCGTCTGTATCTGTAACGTCGGTTACACCGGGGACGGAGTCAACTGTGACGGTAAGAGCAATATGTTTGGTTATACATTTCTAAAACATTGTACGGTTAGAAAGATGATTGCTTCAAAGATATAGTGCTCATAGATTTATTCAACATTGCTAACATTGATGATTCCATGTTCGTAATACCATCATAAAACCATATCTGTAAAAAACAGATGGACGCACCTGTACCGGCGAGAGAAAAATAACTGGTTCTAATTCCGTGTCAACATGTCCTATCAAAATTGAATCTTATAGATGCAAAAATATACATACGATGCATTTGGTATTGTGGATCTTTAGACACATATCCTTACTGTTCCAACGTTGGCATGCGTCACCTTTTCTCTATAGATATCGACGAATGTATAGATGACACGGACAACTGTCATGACGATGCAACCTGCGCTAACACAATCGGCAGTTTCACCTGTGCCTGTAACGACGGTTACACCGGGGACGGAGTTGACTGTGAAGGTGAGAGCAAAAGACTTGACTGTGCATTCGTGAAACTTAATACTGTCAGAATAGATGTTTTACAGAATTCAATTTTAAAGGGTTGTTACATATGTTCGTATTATTTATTGTAGCTTTGATATGTAATATCTAACGCAAAAAGTGTGCCCTTTTTTATATTCATTTGTCAAATGAAAAACGCCACATTTGACCTAGTACTGGTGCCTCACATTTCAGTGCATTGCATGTGACTATCAATTCAGCACTTTTATTGTATAGATTAGGTTACAAAACAAAATTTCCCCCGGTAAAACTGCCTCTCTTTAGTAATAACTATCATGCATGTGAGACGACGATTACTATATATGTACATACAGACATCAACGAATGCACAGATGGCACGGACAACTGCCACGATGATGCAACCTGTACCAACACAGACGGCAGTTTCTTCTGTACCTGTGACGACGGTTACACCGGGGACGGAGTTGACTGTGATGGTAAGAGCAAAAATATTTAGTTGTACATACAATTCATAGCTCCCGTAGACTTCAGTTTTACTATTGCTCTCAAAGTTGTTTTTTACTGTATTTCTTCGGTGCACAGATATTCTACCAATATATGTGATGGGGGGGGGGGTTACTATTTCACAATCATATCTTCATATCGTGATACTACTTCCTGCAATATCGCATATCATAGCAACATTGACCTGTATGTAAGTTGAACTAAAGAATTGTGTGTATTGCAAAGACGTTGATTCTTGACACATTTGGATCACTATTATATGAATTATATGAAGACGAGGATCTAATTTCCATCATTAATGAGAAATCTGCAGTGTCTGATTTTAAGACTATTAAAACTTTTCATAGATAAATTATTTACATAATCAATTAGAACATATATAATTCATCAACCGTAAAGGTAAATAACATTTTCAATTTGGCAAAGGGACGATGTAATACATTGTAAAATTTCTCCACCATACGGCAGAGTGTAAAGTTGTATCATTTCCATGTCCAACCTGCGGATGCGTAGCAAAACGTGTGCCTTCTTTGCCTAATACAGGTCCAGATTGATATAGAAAACGTGACAAAAAGGGTATTATCAACTCTTTACACTTTATCACATTTGTCAAAGTGTACCTTCCTTCTACCGATAACGTAGGTTACAAAACAACTTGACTGATATTCTCTTAATGAGATTCTGTAGAGGTTCAGTGCTGTGCTGTGAGACTCCCTCCCTCCAGTGATGACCTTCATGGGCTGCAAGGTGCTAGCAAATAGTAAAACAAAGACTACACGTACGGTGTTGCGGTTTGTTTTTACAGATATCGACGAATGCGCAATTGGAACGGACAACTGTCACGATGAAGCAACCTGTACTAACACAATCGGCAGTTTCAACTGTACCTGCAACTTCGGTTACGACGGAGATGGAGTGAACTGTACTTGTAAGGGCAAAGTATTTGTTTGTACATATGTAAAACATTCTACTGTTACGTACTCGCCCATGCATTTCTTCTATGTGATGAAATTTTATAGAGTTCTCGACTCATAGGTATAAAATAAGCTTAATATCGTATTCAATGTATATTATAAAAAAGTGAAAATATGTGCACGTTGCAGAGACACACCATAAATGTATGTGTGATAGCGTAGTTTACTATTACAATATAACCACCATAGCGTAATACCATATACTGAAATACCATATGAAGATAGATATCACGATTCTATTTCTTCACGACAAACGATGAGATAAAACGCAGCCGTAATCCATACGGTAGCCTGTGAGTCAATTTTTGCGTCAAAACTGCAGACGCAAAAGTTATGCCATTTTTTTCCTTTCGCGTCAAACAGACAAATTTCCTCAGATCCATAATATTTTTGTTTCGTTTCGCCGTCCTAATATGGCATTGGATTCCTTTAAATATCAGTCTCGTGAGTTAATAGGGTTGATCCACCCACACCGGATGGGACCGTAGTCTTACAGATAATCTTGTGGTGGGTTCTTATACCTACTCGAGGTTTGGCTTCAACTTAGATGCTCTTACTTTATCTGCACATCCATCTTTCTAACACCAAATTTGTCTTAGCGCTGTCTTACCCTTATTTTTTAAATCAACAGATATAGCTATCTGCGATTCTAGCAGCAGCAGTGGCTCCAGCAGCAGCGGCAGTGGTTCTTGCAGCGGTGTGGACCCTGGATACATATGCATAGGTGATACTATTTGATGCAAAGATTTTTTACATGTAGTAGTATGTACTAATGCAATATACTTTGTTAATTTTATCCTGACAGCCCCAAAATACCTTTTAAGGTGTTATGTTAAAACATGGCTCAATGACAGTCCACGTTGTTTGTTTTCTACTGCTAAGCTCTAGAATGAGCAAGTTTGTCCTGTAATAATATTGCTTATCAGCGACTTAAAAAGTGGAAATGGTACAGGACGAAATACAAATAACTCTTACATATCCCAGACTCATTTACTAGTAATACTATTCGTCGTGATGACGATGGATGGACGATATAACACGCTTGCCTAATAAGACTTTGAGGGAGGTAAGTTCTATGAAATGTAGTTTTCTACCCCCACTGATAAACATCAAGGGCTGGTAAGCGAAGGTAGAGGTCAATATTACCAGTTTGTCATCGCGCTTTGTCTCGACAGATATCGACGAATGTGCAGATGGCACGCACAACTGCCACGAACACGCAACCTGTACTAACACAGACGGCAGTTTCAGATGTACCTGTAACGAGGGTTACAAAGGAAACGGAGTAAAGTGTAAAGGTAAGAGAAAAATATTTCTTTCATTGTGCATCCGTAAACTGCACTGTTAAAGCACATGCATTGCTACTGCCTGCCAGGCCTGCTTAGGCCAGAGCTAGCCTCTTGTTTCCTCTCATTTTTTCCCGCCAGGTAGCACGTTCCTTATATAATTAGCCTTTTGTTTTGCAACCTTGATGGACTATCCAGTATCATTAACTATTTGGTCCCGCCATCTTTTGGGGAGTCTTTGTCTAGGTCTGGGGTTTTCTAAGTCCTGGTTAACGTTGTAGGCCCCGTATACAAATGAGTCTGGGGTCTTCTCTAAACGTGACCAAATTATTGTATTCTCAACTCCCAGCATAGGTCGAATTTCCTGGTTTCTAATGTTACCTCCTGGTGGTATGCCCCGTATATAATACTTTTCCAACGGTGGGCCCCTCTATGCCTCTAGCTCTTATAACTTTACACTTTAACCCCGTTAACCTCGCTAGCGCTACTATCTAACACTATATTTTCCGTTAATCGTCGTTGACACTTCTCGTGAGTAGTTGAATATCCCGCCCCCCTCACAATAACCAGGCAGGGTTTACGTTATAGCCCCCTACTTTTTTCTTCAGATTACAGGTCAAAGTTTAGAGTAAGTGCGCGGTAATATTTTTTAACATATTGAAAAAAACGCTACATCTTTTATACTTCTTACTTTCTTATTTAAGTCCCTGTTTCTGGTGTACATGCCTACTTGATAACATACCCTTCACCTGCTAGCTGTAAACTAACCTTTCAACCTTAATGATTATTCCCGATCATTATGCATGGAAATTTTTCATAATTTCAGCTCTATCACCATAATTTCAGCTCTATCACCAAACTTGTCCTAGCAATTTAATTTCTTATGCTTATTTGTAAATTAAAAGCTACAGATAGCAGTGGCTCAAGCAGCAGCAGTGGCTCAAGCAGCAGTGGCTCAAGCGGAAGCGGAGGCGGCAGTGGTGGCTCCGGCGGTAGCGGAAGCAGCAGTGGTGGCTCCGGCGGTGGCGGCAGTGGTGGCTCCGGCGGAGGCGGAAGTGGAGGCCCCGGCGGCGGTGGCAGCGGAGGCAGCAGTGGAGGCGGCGGCAGTGGAGGATCCGGCGGTGGCGGCAGTGGAGGCTCCGGCGGAGGCGGCAGTGGTGGCTCCGGCGGTGGCGGAAGCAGTGGAGGCGGCGGAAGTGGAGGCTCCGGTGGCGGCGGCAGTGGAGGCTC